ATGTTTATCTGTGTCAGCTGTGTTCCCCGTGTGCTTCCACTTCCCTCGTTAACCCTCTGTGTATTTATGTGCATGTCTCCCTCAGTTTGGCATCACGTCGTCAATGGCTCCTCCCCGAACCTGTGTGCCTTTCTGTGTTCCCGCGGTCTTCTGTTAGCATTCCCAGTTTAGTTCTGTTTCTTTGTAAGGCCTGCAATAAAGCAGTGATTTTGAGTTCAGTTCCTGTCTCCGTGAGTTTTGCGTTTGGGTCCTCATCTGCCTCCACACAGCCAGTTCATGACACATATGAACTTGAAATAGCAGCCCATTCTCAATCCAAAGGGTGCACCTTGAACCCTTCTGGGATGGCTTTCTTCAAGGTTTAGGAGCATCTTTATGGATATTTTTTTACTTTTCTTCCAGAAGCACATTTGTGAGGTCAGACACTGATGTTGGACATGAAGGCCTGGGTGGCAGTCTTTGCTCTAATTCATCCCAAAGATGTTTTATCAGGTTGCGGTCAGGACTCTGTGCAGGCCAGTCAATTTCTTCCACACCAACCCCGCTCATCCATGTCTTAATGGACCTTGAATTTGTGCACTGGTGTTCAGTCCTGGTGGAACAGAAAGGGGGCATCCTCAAACTATTCGAACAAAGTTGGGAGCATGAAATTGTCCAAAATGTCTTGGTATGCTGAAGCATTAAGACTAAGATGTCAATCCCAGCTCCTGAAAAACAACCCCAGACTTGTCCACTGGATTGCCAGATGGAGAATCGCGATCACTGTAGAGAACACATCCCCACTGCTCTAGACTCCAGTGGTGGCATGATTTACACCTCTGCATCTGACGCTTTGCATTGCACTTGGTGATGTAAGGCTTGGATGCAGTTTCTTGGCCATGGGATCCCATTCCATGAAGATCTCTGGGGACTATTGATAAGCTAATCTGAAAGCCACATGAAGTTTGGAGGTCTCTGCGGAAAGTTGGTGACCTACGTATACTATTAGGGATTTTATGTGGCCTCCCACTTTGTCACTGAGCTTCTCTCGCTCCCCATTCCTTCCACTTTGTTATAATACTAATAGTTAAATGCAAAGACATTTATTGACTGGACTTGTTGTACAGTCCATGCTGTGCAAAGCTGGAATTCACTGAACTTCTGATTGTGACCCATTCTTTCACAAATGTTTGTAGAAGCAGTCTTGATTTGATATATCTGCAGCCACGAAAGTGATTGAAATGTCTGAACTCAGTGATTTAGATGGCTGAATCAGTTCTTTTGGCATTATAGTGTATATAAAAGCAAGATTGCCCAGTGCTTATGTCATTATAGATTCAATTGGTGCCTGGAGTTCTGGATCTTCTACAATCATCTAGTTGCAATCAGCAACTCTGCCAGTAATTGTGCCAGAATTTCCGAATGTGTATTTCTTTGAGATTGTAGCTGAATTCTGAATATAAGTACTTAATATGGATTTCTGTTTAATTTGAATTTCGTGACCCTGATATG